GAAAATTCCTCTAAGACCTCCTGCAATTTTATTTTACTGTCTACTTCATTTTTTTCTGAGTAGAGAGAGAAAAAAAAGAATAATTACAAAGGCATTTTACTGGCAAATTTAACTCTGTCTCTCTCTAGCATGTGGTGTATGACCCAGTCCATTCTTACATTTAAATTTCTGTCCACTGTGATCTACTAAAACACAGGTTCACACACAATTTTTGAACATTTAAACTTATTGGACATTTTCACCTTATTGGCCAAGAAAAAAAAAAAGAATCTTTTGCGATGATCCAATACGTCTCACTATAGTGACAAGTCTCTCACAAAGGAACCTGTAGAATATATTGAATAACTGCTATGGACCATTTTCCCAGACTGTGATGATGTGTTTCTACAGTTATTCTGTGTTTTTTGATATTTTCAGTTTTTTAAACTACCTAATTTCCCTTTTTTGGAAAAATCACAGTGGTTTTCTTCTGCTATTGGAGCAAATGGGAAATACAAACATTATATCTGATGTTGTCTCCCATTCACCACTATAGAAGTTTCCTCAACTAAGACGACTTCTGCTGAGAACCCTCGAAATGTGAGGGTCCATTCGACTACCTTGAGATAAATGAATGTTAAAGGGATACTTCACCTCTGGAAAGATGAATGTATATTTAAAATGGGTCATTTATGTGAAATAATTTTTGAATTTGGAGCTTTCTAGTCTGAGAAAAGCCAGAAAATGTATTTTTGGCTTATGTGGATGAAAGACAACAACTCCCAGAATGCACTTGCTTCGCTGCCCTAGGAGGCCACACCTACCGGTAACAGAGCGCAGTAGTTAAACAACAAGTCTAGGCTACTAGTGAGTCTCCGTGATGAGTATGCCCGAAAATGTGTTTCGAGAACGCTCAAAATGTCCGGGATTCGGCTTTTGCGTTCTACAGTCGCCATTCATTATGTTCACTGTGGCGAGCAGGACGAGTGAGGGCCGTGGAAGAACGGCGCGAGACCAGTGGCGTGATTACCGATGAGCGACACCTGTGAGACGCACCGGTCTCGTATCTCTCATGGAGGAGCGGGAATTTTCTTAGTGTGTTAAAACGCACATCAACCGATCAGTTGTTTAGCATTCATGTAAAATAGTCAGATTCACCAATCGGAATGAATTCAGTTAGATTGAAACAAAAGGTGTGCATGTAAACAATGAATGGCGACTGCAGAAAGCAAAAGCTGAATCCCGGACATCTACGAAAAAGTGGATGGTAACCCCTACTACTCAGCTAAGATTTCTCCACAGAACAAAAGCCTGCTAGCTTAGCTTCCAAAAAAAAAAAGATGGCTGACACTTTGTGTACATTCTGTGAGATCCCACCCTCTATGGGCGGGTTGAGAACATTCGGGACAGCCGCTAATACTGACTCTAGTCTTTAGCCTCTGGCCAAAAAAAATCCTCTGATGACACAACATGACGATTTTTGCGCCATCGGAGGATTTTTTCAAGACAAAAAAAATACACAAATTTCTCGTCTCAGGGGGATATGAGGGTGGAAAGCATGGTAATTCGAAAGTACTAAATTTTTTTCTATTCTACAGTTTTTTGCAGTGCAGTTTCTAATGAAAGTTTTTAGGTAGACAAGGAGGAAGCTTTGCATTATAATCATTAAAGTATGTCTAGAGAGTACAAGAAAAACATACCTTTTTTCATGATATGACCATTTAAATTTAAGCGTAGGCCAGAAAACAAATCAAAGCACATGTTAAGGGTTGTGCCATCGGTTAGGGGATGTTTATGAGTGCATTCGAGATGGTTTTGCTAGTGTCCTGCCTCGTATTTTTGTATGCGCCCAACGCAAACAGATTCCATATGTGTAGTGCACACAAAGTTCTTCGCTAGAAGTTAAATGACCCCACATTTAGGCAAAGGGAGGAAGACAGCGTAAAGACACAAAAGACACCAGCTGTACTATGTAATTATTCCAGACTTGACATTTATGATGTTTGAAAAGATCAACCATGCACTCAGATTTACATGGCACCATGAAGAGGAAATGACCTAAGGTAAACATCCCAGTCTCAGGAGCTATCACGACCTCTGACCTCGCACGGTTTGCATGACGTGGCCATTTTCCACTATAACAGAGGGAGTATATTGAGCTGAGCGATGTTAAAAATACTTTATTTTAGGCCTTTCTTTATTGATCTCCACAGAGAAGTTTGATTTGTACAGCAAGGTTGCCATTATATACATGCTTTAGAAATCTATACATTCTCCCCAAAGGCATAAATGTAAGTCTTGACACGGATCAGACAAAGTTTTTGCACCCTGCTGGGCCACTTCTTCCTTAAATATGTCCTGCAGAGAGGAAGCGGCATAGATGACTGATTATTTGATCTAACCTACAGTTGGGGATTCTCAGCAGAAAGCAATATAAATAATTTACTTCACTGTCTATGTATATTATGCTCACCAAGGCAGCATTTATTTGATCAAAAACAGAGTAAAAACAGTCATATTGTGAAATAATATAACAATTTCATAGAATGTTTTTGTATTTAAATACTGTATTTTATTCCTGTGATGGGAAAGCTGATTTTTTAGTCTTCAGTGTCACATGATCCTTCAGAAATCATTGTAATGTGCTAATTTGTTGCACAAGACTTTTTCTTCGTCTTCTATAATTTTCTTATTATTTGTCTAATTATCAATGGCTTACAACTGTTTTATAACTATAACTTTTTATACTTATCCACGTGTTTTGCCGTTTTGATTTTGTGGAAACCGTGATATACTATCATTCCATTCGTTTGTGGAAATATAAAAGAAAAAAAAACATTTGATCGGCAAACGTGTATTAAATTGCGTGTAAATTGCGCAAAACTAACAGTACTGACATTTTAAATATTACAAAATCCTAAAAGTATCACACAAAAACAAATTAGGCAGCATTTTCAACACTTATAATGATAAGAACCATTATTAGTTCATAGTTATTGCTTATTCGTTACTTCTAATCTGATCACAAAAAAGCATGTAAACTGTATATATAATGCTAAATATAATATAATGCAATGGGTGAATTGCAATACCATTATCAAGTGTCTGTCAGGGATATGTTCCATTCTGATTAGTTTGATTGTGTTTTGGTTTCATTTTCCATGTTCTTGTTTTGCCTGTGTTCCCGGTCATTGTTAGTTTCCATAGTTAGTTCCATACACCTATTCTTAGTTCCGCAAATATCTCCTATTTAAGCCCCTAGTTATTTCTGTTCAGTTTTCAATCTTGTTTTGGTTTAAGTGGTTGTGATTTATTGCCAATGCTTCCTGAGTGTAAAAATGATCTTGTGAATTCTACCTTGTCATGCAGTAGTACTGCCACAGCCTCAAAGTTGACCAGTAAATTAAAATAGGCCCTACACATTATTTTACTGGATAATCGTACACTGCCATTTGTCATGATACATAGCCGAAATACACAAGAAGAAGATGATTCAGGTACAAACAGTCTTTAATAAACTCAAAAGGTGTCTCAAAAGGAAGGCAGGCAGGCAAACAAACACCACGTAACATTGACGAAACCGAAAAACTAGAACTGAAAACACACGAACTAACACACACAGGCAATATATGACACAAACAGGCTATATCTGATTATATAATAAATGATGACACAGCTGAACGTGATAGCAAAGCAGTAGCGGGAAAACTGAACAAAGGGAAACGGAAGAATGCAAATTAAAATACAGTGAAGGTGAAACTAAGACAACACTGACAGACACCAAACATTAAAAAAAATATTTAATGTACATTTGTAATATGTACATTTCCCTGTGTAGTGGACCAGTACCAAGTCCGAGCCTATTAAAATGTTTATCATGTCTTAGAAATAATATTTTTTTTGTTTTGAAGTATCTATATGGTTTTTATCTAAAAATTGTCATCAGTTCCTCTACCTCGTTTTGCAGAATTTTTTCGAAGTCACAAACAAAACGTGGCGCGAAAGCAAAAACTGTTTACACATGCATTGGTGGTGATTTTTCATGCAAATAGTTAAAGTTTAGTTATAGTTTTGTCTCTAACTGAAACAAATATGCTTTTTCAGTCTGTTATGTAGGCTGCTATGATTTTACAGATCACATTTTAATGTAAAGCAGTTATTTTTTCACGACATGAAAATAGAGCACTTCTAATATGTCAGCAAATTTAAAAGCACTTGTTTAGTGATGCTCACATTCCCTATATTCACTGTAAAGTCAAGCTTCTCAATTTTATTTCTATTTTCTGATTAAGTCTATTTTCTATTTCTATTTTCTGATTAAGTCAAGTCACCTTTATTTATATAGCGCTTTATACATTACATATTGTTTATAACAGGAAAATGATGCAATGATGCAAACAGTTCATTGCAGCTGTACAGCAGATCTAAAAGAAAATAGTGCCGTTGTTCAGCTGAAGTCGGTTCAGCGTTAATTCAGTTCCGTTGTAATGATTAAATTGAAATTAATTTCATCTGTAGAGCAGGTCTGCAGAAAAACAGTGAAGTCATCTTTATCGTCATTGTCATCCAGACTCAGTTCAGGGCAGTTCTTCTCTGGCCAATGAACGAACATGGTGTGTTTATGATTCAGGCCTCTTAGATATCAAAAGCTCAAGGAAAAATTGATTTCTCAGTTCATCACCCCTTTAAGGTTAACGCTTAATTGATTGTTCATTTAAACAACAATCAATTATGGGAATTTATGTAAATTGACATCCATACTTGGAATATAGCACGTGAGTTTTGTGGACCACGTTGATGGTGCCATTTTGTCTTTTTTGAGATGAACAATCCCTTCAAACATCATGCGTGGGTTAAAAGCAGATGGGCTGAAGTGTGAGGTCAAATCTAAGGTCATATCTCAGGTAGAGTGAGGTGCTGCTGACTGAGTGGATACATGTTGGTTCATATGAGTGTGTGTTTGTGTGAATGACAGACAGACAGACAGAGACAGCATTAAAGAGAGACAGTAGAGACTTTACCTTCTTGTGAGGAACAGTTGTCTGGGTCATGGCCAGCTCGAAGCTGTGTGCTCCCGTCAGCTGTGTTTTCTCCCAGAGTTTCCTCAGCTGCTGCACACACTCGTCCTGACAGCACAACGCCTCGCTCACTTTACTCTGCACACAGACAAGATAAACTGCTCGCTTGCCAAGATTCACTCCACTCATAATTAGAGGTTTGCAAAGGCAAACATTACATTTGCTGCTGCTTATAAGATAAACCTCTAAGCCAAAGTATTAAACATCTACATATGTAACCATACCAACATCTACATTTGTTAACAAGTATTCATTACTTCATATTAAAGGAGTAGTTCACTTTAAAAAAAAAAAACTTTTGCTGATAATTTAATCATCCAAGATCAAATCATCTTTCTTCAGTCGAAAAGAAATTAAGGTTTTTGATGAAAACATTCCAGGATTTTTCTCCATATAATGGACTTCAATGGGAACCAAACCGTTCAAGGTCCAAAAGACAGTTTCAGTGCAAACTGCAAATTGTTCAAAGGGCTTAAAATGATTTCAGACGATGAATAAGGGTCTTATCAAGCGAAACGATCGCTCATTTAAAAAAATAATAACAAAGTTTAAGTTTTATAAGCTCAAATGGTCGCCTTGCTCTGTTCTGTGATGCGCGTTCGTGACTTTCCTGTTCGAACTTGTTCATCAAAATGAACAAATCTTTTCCAGAGTCAACTCGTTCATTTCATTCATTGAATGAACCAAATGACATGAAAAAAGATTTGTTCATTTTGATGAACGGGTTCGAACAGAAAAGTCACGAACGCGCATCACAGAACAGAGCAAGGCAACCATTTGAGCATATAAAACGTAAACTTTTTTTTTAAATGAGTGATCGTTTCGCTTGATAAGACCCTTATCCATCGTCTGAAATCATTTAAAGCCCTTTGAACAGTTTGCAGTTTGCACTGAATCTATCTTTTGGACCTTGAACCATTTGGTTCCCATTCAAGTCTATTATATGGAGAAAAATCCTGGAATGTTTTCATCAAAAACCTTAATTTCTTTTCGACTGAAGAAAGAATGACATGGATATCTTGGATTTTTTTTTTTTTAAAGTGAACTACTCCTTTAATACCTGTTTCGCTAACTGTGTTTTTTGCATATGTAAATGTCTGAAATACTTAACTTAGTTACCTATGAAAACAGATAACTCTAAATTGTAATGTGGACTCATGGGAAATGTGCATTTTATGTAAAGCTGTTTCAAAATGATGTGTATTGTGAAAAGCGCTATACAAATAAATGAGAATTGAATTGAACTGAATAATCCTCAACCAACTGCCTAAAACCACCTAGAACACAACCGCACAGCAACACCCTGGTAAACACAAAATATACAAAAATAGTTTAATTTGAAATATCACTGATATATCACTCTACTGTATATCAACTTACAGATCTGTTTTGCACTGTCCATTGCTATGGTTGCAACATCAATTAATGGAGTTCAGAGGTAAGGTCGGAAATTCGTTTTATAAACGCTTTTTGTTATACTGGTTGAAACTCTCTTCACATCCTGATAGCAATCAATAAGAGAAGTGGTCTAAATATTAAAACATGTACATATATATTCAGAAGTCTCAGGACCAAAAAATGTTCATCCAATAACACTACCAACGCAGTCAACACTATCAACGCAGAAAATAACCTGCAGCAGTCAGGTGGTACAAGTAAGAGCTCTGTAAGTTGTTTATGATGATTATTTTTGTAATGTTATGTTGTTTGAGACATGAGGTAATTTAAATTTGCTGTGTGCAGTCATGTTTTAAAGTGGACTTCACTTTGCAGACGCTCTGAAGGGAGGGGGGGATCTCATGTTTTAAGATTCAGTATACCTACTGTATAAGATTCAATCCCACATTTAAATATGGTTTTCACTCCCAAAACTCTAAGCAGCTTGAAAAATAAAGCTTGAACAGTACAGAAAACAAGAAAATACATGTATAATTTATAAATATAGTCTATATATAAAGGATCCAACAATCACAAATAATATTTACAACTGTTATTTATTCCCCTCAATGATACATTGACACAAACACATTATCTAATAGACTTCCATTGTTTTTATATCAGGTTAATGATAATTTTCAAACCTGACCCCTACCCTTAAACATACCCCTCACAGAAACCTCTGCAGACCACTAGATTTAAATACAAACACGATTTGGCCTATTTATGAGCCTTTTAATCTAATGAGGACACACAATGGTTGTCATGATATTTCATTATCTAACAAAGAACATCTGGCCCTCACAAATATAAACACACTCACACATCCCCAAACATCTTGTGCCACAAAAACCACAAGTCTGACTGTTACCTGCAGTGCTAGAAGCATGATTTGGATCCAGATATGTGGCTGGCAGCTACACAGGGAGAAACAGGACTTTCCATAGAGGCAGTAGTGTCCTTTCAGTGGACAGGAGAATGACAGCTTAGCCACACAGCCACGATGGGAGTCTGGAGAACAACACACACATAAACACAAGAGCATAAATTGCTTTTGAATTCCTTCATCAAAAATGTAACCTACTTCCCAAAACCACATAATATCCTAAAATAAACTGCTCCATCTTGTAATACAAAAGTGCATAGTATTAAAGTCCCTCGATTCTCCAGATGTGTTTCTGAAAAAGCACTTATAGAATAACTGCTTTTGATTACATTGTCTTTTTTTGCTAAAATTTTAATAAAATTGAAATTATATTTTGGGCAATGTAGGTAGATGTTAATGGTGGTGATGTTAATTCCTCTTGACTCAAACATTAAAATACCAGTATGTGGCAACCAGTGAATGTCTTCTTATGATTACACACAATCCAGCAGAACTTGTCTAACTATATAAAAAGGGCAAAATACTTAATTAATAATGAATAAATTGTGCTTAAATTAAATTCTGAGTTACAATAACGTCTTTATGTCCAGTCAAATGTATCTGTATAGCACTTTTTATGATACACAATTTTCTTCAAAGCAGCTATACAGAAAATAATGATGCTAATATTCATGATATCTTAATATATTCACACATTTAGCAGATTAGAGCTGGGCGACAATCCAGTTTACATTGTTTAGCTAATTCTTCTGCTTAACAGACTCAAAAAACTTTCTCATGTAGCAAAGAGGCATGTTTGTTCAGTGGGTCCAACCAATGAAATGCTTCATCACTGTAAAACTCGAATGCTACTGTAAAGAGCCACAAAATCGATCCAAAGACTGCGTTTGATTCGTGGAGTCAGAACTCCCAGCCTAATAGCCCAGAATTTTACCTGATATGTAAATCACCAGGTTACAATGGAAAGTTACTGCATTCCCCCACCATGCTTACCATGGAAGGAGATGACCATCGGCTTAGTTGTAATTTGCATTCAGACAAAAGGCCAGAAGGAGTTAACTCAAAGACACGCCCTTCTGTGTGCAAGATATTTCTATATTCTTAAAAACCTTATTACCTTTTATTTTACTTCTTTGGAAATTAGACATTATTACCGGTCATCCTGAGACCTTCGAAATGATACTAAACAATCCTTAAGACTATCACATTCACATTAAAATCATATATATTCAAGATATCTCTCTAGTGATGTCTGCCAATAATAGGACACTGTTCAACAAATCTTTCACAAAATCCCTTTCTAACAAATGTCTATGACATTAGCTGTTTTTCCATGATCTGGTAAGTATGACTGCACTGAATCCCTCACGCTGACACACATAAACGAACTCACATGTATCCCGCCAGTTCAGCAGGTCTCCGAATGATCAATTATCTTACTGTTTCTCAGTGGGAGAGCTGTTGAGTAATGTGAAGGTGAGGCAGAGACCCGGGGAGATGTTAAAATAGCTTTGCCAAGCAAACCCTTTGTTCTGTCTGCCACCCACAGCTTAATTGTAGCGTATTACACTCAATGAACAGACAGCTGATAATTAGTGGTGTTTGAAAAGGCAAGCATCACTATTACCATTGTTCATACTCATGGATTTGAACAATGAATTGAACCTTATGAACTTAACTTCAGCGCATAACTCATCCAGCAATGTGCTAGTGATGATGATACATCAAATCAGCTTATTGAGGAGAGGTGTGCTATTAAAGCAACTGGACTTATGAATTCCTGATGGGATTGTTATGAAATGAATGTTTTTAAAAATTAAATTTTGAATATTAAAACATCAAATGATTTAAAAATAAAAAATTGATACTTCTGGTGGTGGTAAGACACTGAGTGAGTCATTGAGTCAAACAGCTGATTCATTAATCATTCACTCATACAATTCATTCAAAAATTCAGTTTTGTTTGGAACTATTTTCATTGGCAAAACATTAAAACAGACAAACGTGTGTCTAAAATTTAACTAACTTAATATTAACCTGTATAATAAAATCAATATCACATTCAGAATCGTGCTCAGGAAAAACAGCACTCTTGATCATTAGCCTGGGTTTCCCATGCTGCCTTGCCGCAGCGTGATTTTATTCACGCTGCTAGGCAGCCTGGACACCATGAACCAAATTTTTAACTAAGATAGGGAACCAATCACAGAACAGGGAGGGAGCGGCAAGACAATGACGACGTACAGTTTGTTTATATCTATGGAACCATCTTAGCAGCGGACGCGAAGTCACCTTTTGATACAGCATTTGTGTATACATAAATCTCCTAAATTTCTGACCCATCGTCGTCTACCTCATCTAATTTTCTGTCGCTCTACATACGTCAATCTGGTTTTATTGAAATGACTGGCTATGAGCTACGTACAGGCGCATTTGATAGACATTTGTAGCACCCAATAACACGGCTCTGGGCATTCGTACACCACGCCTCAAATACGAGAAACTGAACAACCCGATCTCACAGGAATTCGTACGAATTTTACGAGGTGGCTAATTCACAACAATTCGTCCGACCTCACTCGAACGAATAAGTACGATTTTGCTAAATCGTACATATTTTACGAATTAGCTGATTCGTATGAATTCGTACGAATGACCTACCCCTGACCCCGCCCCTAAACATAACCGTCACATTCGTACGAGTGAGGTCGTATGAATTAGTATGAATTAGCCACTTTTGAATCACTCGTACGAATTCGTACGAATTGGTCGTGGGTTTCCAGACCACGTCTCATTCTCAATTATACACGGTCTGGCATTAGCCAGGCTACTTGATCATGTGATATTGCTTAAGAGTGCAGAAAGTTTTGCCAGGGCAAGGACAACTTTCTCTACAGAAAATAAATCGTGAGTTCTACATTATGGTCAATAACCAATGTTTTGACCATTGACTCAAACAATGGAAAAGCTTCTATTGAGCAATTTAATGAAAATATTAGTGAAATTTGCCATCAGAATATAAATATAGGGTACAAAAACACTGTCATGTACTAATCTCTGCAATCTAATGAAAAATTAGCTCATATGTATTGTGGATCATGTGTACTGTTTTTCAAACAAAATTTCAGGGAATGTGAAGAGCAGTATTTGGTGAGAACATTACCATAGTGGGGAACCGACTAAAGAAGTAAGACCACACAGCATGCAATCCCAGTGTGTAATTGGCATTTACATTTCAAACATATCTAAAAATGTACCAGGAAGGTGTTCTCTTCATGTTGCTAAACCAGCAAAAAACAAGAATTAGCAGCTGACATGAAATTCAATCTTGATTAATCATACACATCAATTTTGCCTCCAATTGAGAGTGAGATGTAGAAGAGAGTTGTCCTCCTGCACTACACTTGAATGTGAGGTATTTTGTGAGGTAACATGGTACTGTGGGGATTGTTCTTAGATTTGACAGTTTACCTTCAATGACACAGTGCTCAGGTATGGGGATTAGTTTGATCATTTCAGCACAGAAGGTTTTGATTTCCTTCATGTTGTCTCTCAGGTGGATCCAGAGTCGATCTCCTTCTCGGGGGTCTCCAGCCTCCACCTTTTGCCCCTCTATGTTTGGAGAGGTGTCAGATGGATTTTTTGTGGGATCTTTGTGGTTCTCCTGCAGGGCTAAAGGGACAGGACCAGTCTCTGAGCTGGGACTGGCCTCACAGGCATTGAGTTCTGTACTCACATCCACCAACCCCTCTCCCTCTGGACTGCTGTCAGAGTTAATGGATTGTGTGCGTACAGCGTGAAGAGCCAGACTCTTTGACCTGAACATGAGAGAACAGCACAAAATCTATTAAATACAATGACTTAAAAAGGACCATGCTATAATAGACTATGGACTATGTAGAACATATTTTTTTACTTATTTCCAGAGGTGTAGTGGTAAAAGAAGTAAAATATATATAAACTTTAAATTCTAGGTGGGCCACTACCGGTGTATGTGTATCCTGATAACATTGCTATATAGGGAGGGCTCGACATTAAGCCTTTTCATAGTTGCTTGTCCGAATTTTTTATTTTTATTTTGTGTGTTAATTTATTCTGAAACAATATTCTCATCAGTGTTCAATCAGCTTTGATATTTAAATCACCATATTGTAATATCTGCACCTTTAAAGGGCATCCCCTCCCCCAATATTATTAAATGTATGCTTCATCTTTCATTTTAAATTCCTAAATTTGATCAATAAATTCAATTATTTCGAATAATAAGACGCTATAGGGCTGTTACCCAAGGGGCTGATCAAATTAAATCATTTACATGGAAAAATTACAATTGCATAAAATAATGTTATGAAATTGATGAATTGATATATATATATATATATATATATATATATATATATATATATATATATATATATATATATATATATATATATATATATATATATATCCATCTGGAACTGCTCTGATCCTGAAAAGAGGCATACAAGAATGGAGACATGTGATTAGAAGGGAGGTATTGAAAAGCGATTCAAAGGGAAAACATGTTGTTAAATTTGATTTCTTTTAAATGAAAACACTGCCAGAATTCAAGAAAGTAAATATGGCCAATTTTGATTCTGATTAACTTTAAGGGTGTCTTTACACTTGTAGTTTGGTTCACATGGTTCATTTGGTCCCAAACACACCCTAAGACTTGATATTCTAATAATTAATTTGTAAACGAGTGTTGTTCACACAAAAAGGGTCTTCAAACTTTTTTGATGCCACGGGCCCCCAAATACAGTATTATCATCCCGCAAGTCAACAATACATTCTCATTTATAAAATACACGTCTATACAGTATAAGTGCAATATGTAAAACCTTATCTGGGAAATATTTACTTTTATTATGTTGACCCTGTATTTTTCTACTCACATTTATAGTTAGATGTATAAAACTAAAGAGAAACATTATGGCTGTCAATAGCATAAAATGTAATTAAACTCATGACTTTCAACTCATCTTAAGAAAGCAGAATGTAACTGTAATAACATACATTTCAATCATTTTGAACTTATATTTTTATTGTATTGCCCACCTGTTGAACCTCATCTCTCTGTGCTCGTCTCGCGCTGCCTGACCCAGACTGTGGCATCTCTGGGGACCAGGAGAAGCATCCTCTCTCTCAGACTCCACCTCCTCCTCATCTCCAATCTTCTGATCAAAAGCCTGGATCTTCACCTGGAGACGCTGGTTCTCAGCAAACATGTCAGAACTAGACTTGGCTTCACACGGCCTGGGCAAATCCTGCACCTTCTCCTCTCCTCTGATGCACAAAGATAAATGCTGTGCTCAGAAAAGAACACTACTGCACTGCTTACTGTATACAGCACAGTATGCACAGTATACTTAAAAAAAAACAGAATTAGTTACTAATATTTGAATTAGTTAAAACTACTGTATGTCACAATTATAGTTAATCGTCACATGCTCATCCTGTTCTGGCAGGGTATATTACAATAAATGTAAAAATGCCTTTTTTTGTGCCTTTTTACTCAATATTATGTAAAATGCCTTAACATTAAAGTCAAGAAAGACAAATTGCAGTCAATAGACTATTCCTTTGAAGATTTATACATTATATTGGAATCTCACATAAGCCCCTTTCACACAGAGATTCCAGAAAATACACTGATAATGTGTCCCGGGATCATCTGGTTTTGGTTCATTCACACTGCCAGTAATTTTCTGAAATCTGTGCATTCACACACATCCTGTAAAGATTCCATGAAGACACATGACTTCGGGATGTGACGTGTTTGGAGACATTTTTTCGTCCTTCCTTTGTTCCTTGACGAATACGAACTTTCTTCTTTTTAAGATGCAACATGAACGTTGATCTACATTTAAAATCCCCGGTCAAAGAGTCACACGAAACTACATCGAGTACGTCGAGTCTGATCCCGGCAATATTACTTGGTCCACATCTCGCGATTGATCCGGGAAAGTGTTTGCGTTCACCCAGAAGGCACTCTAGCAATTCTATGCCAATTTTAATTGGATCAATGCTCTGTGTGACAGGGGATACAGTATACTCTATTGGAACAAAAACGCACATCATCCTGGTATTTTATACATACAGCAAAAAATGTACACAAACAATCTCAGAAAGAGCTTACTTAGAAATATAGCCCTTAAAAAATGTAAATAAAAAATGTAACACAGCTCAGTCTGATAAACAAGCCACAACTGAGTGTGTTTGAGTCAGAATCTAAAGAGACCTCTTATTGACTTTTCTTGCTAGATTTAATTTTTCATTTTAATGTAGTCCAAACCCTGAGTGAATGAAGTTTAGTGTCATCAAACAAAAATATCAGACTAACGTCATTGAACAATCAGAATCAAGCATCCCAGAGAGCCATGTAATAATCATAATTCATTCCAAACCTGTCCACTGAAATTGATAGGTAGGTATAATCATTTAAACTAGACCAGAAAGACACACATGCAATACTACTTCCATAGTTCTGGTTGTAATTTTTAGATAATTTAAGATTTTAAAATCCTTTCAAAAAGTAGATAAGCAAGAACACAGGGAGAAAGATGAGAAAAAGTCGAGTAATTTTATTTACAAAATACCTTTATCCCATATTTCATTCTGTAAATGTATCTTTCTGGTCATTAATCATTCACAGCTAATTTTTACTCAAGGGAGCACAAATGAAAAAGAGAAATGGACAAAATGCTTCAATCTGAAGTATAACTCTTTACCTCATCGTTCTTCTAGCAATGAAACTGCCAAAACGCTGATTATATGAAGAATTTTGCAATGGCGAGTGTTGACAAGCAGACAAAGGTCAGTGGATTAAGGAGCTTTTAAACCGAAGTTACTCCATCATAATAAAATGTCAATTACAGCAATAAAACGAATTCTGGAACATGTCAAGGCTATTCAGGAAATCAAACCATGTGTGTGTGTGTGTGTACCTGTTCAGTGTACTATCAGCCTCCAGCTTGCGTCCTAGCAGTCGAGCGATGGCGGTGAAACTGTTGCTCATGCGGTAGATGTCTTTTCCTGCGCCGCCCAGGATGGAGGTGTAGCGATCGGTCAGGCAGCGGATTTCCAGCAGTAGTGTGTGATGGGCGCTGTGCTCGGTACTCGCTAACAGAGACACCAGATACTGCAGCGCCCCGCGGGCCTGGACCTGCACATGAGAAGTACATATAAAATGTATTGTAATTTTAAATCAAAAATACAAGTTGAGTGGCAAACAGTGTAGAAGAATAGTAAAAAAAAGAATTATTGAGCACAAAATCAGCATATTATAATGATTTCTGAAGGATTATTCATTATTAACTATGGACATTAACTACTAAGCTGTTATCCTATTGTTGCTGATGTTGATCTCTTATTGATGATATACAGCAAGTAAGATACTGTAACAGATTTTTTTAACCATTTCAAAAAAGTACTATAGTAAAATGACGTCGGATAGATGTGCAGATCATGTCTATATTGGGTCCGTCGGTCCATGTCCAATTCTAGACATCTATTTGATGTCCAAGCTAGGTCCACTATTTGGACATTCAAACTTGGCCCAACTTGAACGTCATGTTGACGTGGAACAGGGAAAGCAAGAAATGATAGGAATGTAAATGTGTAATACAATGCAAGTCACTTTGGATAAAAGCGTCATAAATGTATAAATTAGGGCTGTCAGTTAAACGCGTTATTAACGCAAACCCATTTTAACGGCGTTAATTTTTTATTGTGCGATCAACAGTCTTTTTGGGCTAGCGAGCCGACCAAATAGTTGGTTAACGTTACATTTTGAGTGGATGACGAGCGCGAGACGCCAAAATGGATACCAATAAGTTTCTGAATGGAAAGTTTACTTTTAAAAAGTTGCCAAATGGTTCCATTGACAAGACCAAATTGATCTCTGTGTTTTGTCGTTGTGAATTGAGCTATCATCATCGCAGCACGTCCAGTCTGAAATACCGCTTGATGATGGCCAAGCACACACACACACATAGCTGATGCGAATAGAGTGCCGAAGTGATGACGTCACTTTGTAGGACAACTCGGAAGATAGCGGCGAATGGGTTCCTTCGGTCGAAAAGCAATGCATTTTCCCCATAGACTTTTGGAAAATCGCAAAAAATAAGATCTGTGTTTAACAAAGGGTTGTGACCCTTACACGTTTTGTCTAGCGAGATAATTTTTACAATTTAATCCAAAATTGATACATTTTGAAGCCTATATAAAGATTTAAAAAAACACAATCAGACACAATAAAGTTTAAAAAACCACAAGCAGGTTATATCTGGTGTGTTTTATGTCATAGATCAAAACGTGAAAATATTTAGAGGCTCTATTCACCACAGACCTTATTTCAGGCGATTTAGCAAAAACCCATTCAAAAATCCCATAGGCTTTAGAGCGAGGGAACCGTAATGCTAAAATGCTAACTCACTTCCGCGTTTTGGCCTACAGAGTGACGTCGTAACTTCGGCACTCTATTCTCCGCCCCCTCGTCAATATCAGGACCTAGTCAGTGTTTCTTTCACCCTTTTATTGACGGACAGTGTTACACTGTGTGAGAGATTATTTGCTCCAAGTGAGAATGTTAGTGTGAAATTGAACACAGAATGCCAATGTTGTTGTCGATGAAAAGCATTTTTACAAAGCGAGCCGATCCACTTTTCCATGTTGATAAGAGCATTAAAATGAGGAAAAATAATGGGACAAAAAATAAATCAAGAGACATTTAGGATAGATAAAAATGTGTGATTAATTGCGATTAATCGCGAGTTAACTATGACATTAATGCGATTAATCGGGATTAAATATTTTAATTGTTTGACAGCACTAGTATAAATCCATAAAATGCATGTGAATGAATACATAAATCCCTTTTGAAACATGGGACTACAGTTATAGAAGTTATAAAAACGACTTCTAAAATTAGTCTAAATTTGATGTTGAAAAGACGTCCACAAACGACCACATTTGGTCCCACGGATGTCAACATTAAACGTGCAATAGACGTCGAAAAAAGACGCTGCCTAGTGTTACAAAACAACCCCTTCAGAGGACCGAAATTGGATTGGACGTCCAAAAATTACATATAAAAGACGTCACTCCGACATCACATTGCGCAGTGAGTACTGAATTATTACTAGGTACCTCAAAAGTGTTTCACCATTGCACATTTGAGATAAACAACAGATCTTTTTAATTTAAAAGTTGTATGTAAAACAAGAAAACTGTAACAAAATGGTTGGCTACAATACTGGACATGTAGCACAATAAATAATACTGTAAAATATCAAGTAAGGTCCAGAAATAGAGTAAAATCACATCATGATGGATTTTTAACAAACGTACACAACAGGGACTACATTACGTGTTGCACAATGGGTGTGAATCTGGCTGTGCCTGAATGCATCTAAACACTATTTTTCATCCTATTTTAAACTAATATGTGGATCTGATTCAAAACATATTTCCCAGTCAGAGTGGTGACTCAAAGCAAAAACTAAATCAAACTGAAAGGGGGAGACAATACATTTTCCTATTGGCATCAGCAATTGAATTCCCATTTGAAAACATAAGATTTGTATATAATGATGTAGTGCAACTTTGTCAGAATCAGGATGTAAAAAGTCAAAAACAGCTTCTGGTATTAATATACAGACTGATCTAGGTCCATTATGACAGAACTGGGGGTCTTGTCAGTTTGAAAAACAGTTTGTCCATTACACAGGGTAAACAAATCATTAAAAATGATGTTTTGATCCATTAACAGTTTTTGAACATCTGGATCTGCTCTTAATGTACAGTGCCATGGGAAAAGAAATGATTTCTTAGCTCATTGGGCATGAACAAGTACAACAAATTCGGAATTAATTCTGTACTGAATGTGACAGCAGATAAAGATTGGGCAACCAAAAATGAATTAATAAATAAATAACAGTGTTTTTTTTAGTATCACTGAGATACTATTATCGTCACGTTCAGTTTTGTTTTTTTTATTTACTTTTCGTGGACTTTAAGTTTGTTTCTCATTATTTCCTGTATTCCCTTTCCATTGTCTTATTACTAAGCATGCTTTCATTTGTTGTCCTGGTTACTTATTGTTTCATTGATTTCATTCACCTGTTCCCTGTTTAGTTTATTAGTTTGCTTTGTATGTATTGCCCTCAGTTCCGTCTGTTCATTGTCTGGTGTTGGTTGTATATTGTGCACACGGTTTCATTTATTTAATATATTTTGTTTATTTCTCGCTCTTTTGTTTTGTTTAATAAAGTTACGCTGCTAAGTTTAATGCTAAGTTAAGTTTAATATAGATTCGCTACGCCTGTGTCACGTTAAGTTTCATGTCTTTTATTTTGAAGTTTTGTTCCTGGTTTCTTGTCATGTGACTTCCTTGGCCTCATGTAATCATGCATTGTCTTAAACCCTAGTCTTATGTGTCTCATGTTTTTATTGTTTCACTGGGTTCAGGTGTTTCTTGTTGTTTAGTCTTTGTGTATAAATAGCCCTAATGTACGGTGGCCAAGAGAGCTCAACACGCTGCAACTGAAAAAAACACATGCAAATAAAAAAAACACCCGAAATTAAGAAAACATTTTACAACATACGTGTGCTCCAACTACTCACAACACAACGAAATACTGAAACTCTCTGCAAAAGTTCACAACACAACAAAATACAGAAACGTGCTGCAAAATAGCACAGACCACAGCGGAAATGTTTCCAGGGGACCCAAATAAGTGACGGACCCGGCTGTGCGTTGAGCTCTCTCAGCCACCTCAGGCACCGTATATGTTTCCATTGTCTCTTGACTAGCTTTGTTCCCTGTAACCTCTGTTGGTGAGTTTTATGTTTCATGTTCAAGTTTAGTTTAACAAGTAAAGCCAAGTCTTCTGCTGCGTTCAAGTCATCTCGTACAGATCGTAATTACGAGTTGAACGCACTTGAACGCCACCACAATGTCGTAAAAACCAGTGGGGAGCTCGGGATTTTCTTTAAGCCCCGATCTGTACGAGTTGGGGGCGTGTCAGTCAGAAACGTTCATTCAACGTCTGTTGACGGTAAATTTTAATTGAATTTCAAAGTTTACTCATTGACATTGTAAGGCTTTTTTATTTATAAAGCAAGCTCTCTGCACAAAATATGATATCATTTATCATCAATATAAAAATTAGATAAAATAAAAAGGAATAAAAAAGATAAAAAAGAAAAACACACCTGATGCAGATTCTTTGTTCTTCATTTTTTTTATTAGCAGAGTTAACAAACCTTGCTATATTTTCGTGTGATTCATTAAAAGAAGGTACACCGCCATTTTTCTCTGCCGAAACTGACTTGAGCGCACCTCACGTCGTAAACACGATTTCCCACCTCATACGTACGAACTTCCCAGGAGGACTTGAACGCAGCATTTGTTCATTTTGTATCCGTTCACAATAGGATTTAAATAAACTGCACATGGGATCTTTATACGCGCCTTCAGGGGACTTTGTTATAGAAAGCTAGACCTTCAACAAAGAACCAATAAGATCATGAAACAAGGGAACCAATCCGACATGATCACATGAGGGCAAGGTCACATGACAAGAAACCAGGAACAAAACTTCAAAATAAAAGACATGAAACATGAACATGAATTCATTGACTTGTGTGTCAATCTCAATCAACTCTTGACTTGGTCAAAATAAAACCAGACGAAACATCAACCAAACAATTCCCCTGCACAATTATCTCCAAAAGATAATATCCTAACATCTAAAAACATTTCAAGCTGCTGCTTTGGGGGTGGTGACTACAGTATATGACCGTACTGTATGATGTCAGGTTCGGAGTTGGATTTTGCTGAATTAGGTAAGACAGTGGTAATTATTTATTATTCATGTTGGCTGCTATATGAACGGAAAACCAAAGCACGCCTATATGCTTGCTCTAGAGTCACTTAAATAATTATCAGTATGACGCAAGTTGGCCAGCTGGTGTGTGATAGTGGCTGTCTAACTCTGTCAGAATGCCAAAATTGTTATGTAGTCAGATGTGCACACTGAGTAAACTAACGTGTTTACATGCTAAACAAAATCAGTGTAACCGGAAAAACATTAGGTGTTGATTGTTCTTTTTTTTTTCGTTCTTAAGTGTATGAGCTCTCCACAATAAAACAGTGCTGTT